CTCCCCTCAGCAGTGTACTTCGTTGATCTGCCTGTTCTGCTCCCCACTCTGTCTCTGGTGAAGTCTCTCACCGAACCTGAGCCTCTGGCCTGTACCCCAGTTCTATATGAATAAATAAATGAATAAATCTTTAAAAATTAGTAAATCAAGTAGCAGCAGCAGTTTAAGAATTACGATGACTACCATAAGAATTGTTAAAACCTCCTCTGAGAAATAAAACTGTAGGAATAGGAAGATTAGAAGAGATAGGACAGCAGAACACCTAGGAAACTTTCACTTAATTTAGTTTTCAGTTATTACTGTAGTCATACATTACAATGATAAAAACAATGTCAAATATTCATCTAAGAATACTTCCACTTAAAAATATTTTTCCTTTAAAAGTACATATAACATTACCTGCTCCATACAGATTTGAAAGGTGGTGGATTTGCATCAGCATTACATTTGAGATTAACACCTTTTCTTCCTACAAACCAATTTCCATCATATCCTGTTACGGAAACTTCAGGAGCATCTATAAAATAAATGTATGATAGGACAGATTATCTTTAGTTAACAATAAAGCAATATAAAATGATAAAACACTAACAAAATAAACCTTAGAAGTACAGAAATCATTTTTTCTTCTCTCCATACACATGACCAAAGTGGTAGACAATAAATATTAGCTGACTAAAAGGAAAGCTGCGTACTGAAACACAACAAACTAATAAGTATGTTCACTTCTAGTTATTACGAATGTAAAAATATTTAAACCTATAATCATCAAAAGCAGTTGAGCCCTACAATAACATATGTATAAGGAAAAGACATTACAACACTTAATTTGATAATGAAACATGTCTTAAGTACCATGTAGTATCATTTCATGTAAAGTGGTCATTTTTCATATAAAGCAGTCTTTAAAGTAATGGTTAAGCTGAAAGGAAATTACCAATGAGTTATCACCTTCCATCTGTTTGAATGGCCTTTATCAAAAATACAGTTAAGTAACAATGGTTATTGAGGATATGAAGAAAAAAGAACCCTTGGGTGGAAACTATAAACCAGTGCAGTTACTAAAGACCAACTGTATGGAGATCCCTCGAAAATTTAAAAAATGAATTACCTTGTAATATGGCAATTCTACTCTATCCAAAGAAAAGAAAGACACTGATTAGAAAAGAAATATGCACCTCTATGTTCATATGCAAACTAAGTGTCCAGTAAGGGATGAATGGATCACAAAGACATGGATAAACACAGCACACACACAAACAAAATGGGATACTGCAGCTCATCATAAAGAAGATTGAAATCTTCTCATTTACAATAATATGGATGAACCTTGAGAGCAAAGACCAATGCTGTACACTATTCATATACAAACATCTAAACAAATATAATAAGAAAGCCACGCTTACAGGTACAGAGAACAGACTGGTAGTTGCCATAGGAGGGAAGTGGGAAGTGGGTTATCGAATGTCAAAAGGTACAAACTTCTAATGATGACTAAGCAAATCATTGGGATCTAATATACAGCAAGATGACTATAGTCAGTAATACTAAATTACAAAATTGAAAGTTGTCAAAAGTGTCTTAAAAGTCATCATCACAAGAAAAAACAATTTTTTGAAACTATGTATGGAAATGAGTGTAACATTTTACAATATAAATATCAAACTATACTGAATACCAGAAACTAATATAATGGTGTATGCCAAGTATATCTTGATAAAAAGTGAAAACAGTATTTCAAAGAAATATTTGTAACCTATTATCACAGCAGCATTATTAGCTATAGCCAAAGGGTAGATGCAACCTGAATGACTACAGTCAGAAAATGGGTAAGCAACATGTGTATATACACAATGGATTTATTATTCAACCTTAAAAATTCTGGCACATGCTGCTCATAGATGAATGTGGAGGGTGTTGTGCTAAATGAAATAAGCCGGTCCCATGAAGACAAATACTGCAGAATTACAATATATGAGGAACCTAAAACAGTGCAAATTCAGGTAACAAAGTAGAATGATGGTTGCTAGTGGTTCAGGGGAAGGAAAGGAATTTTAGCTCTGTAGGATGAACAGAGTTTTGAAGATGGATGCATGATTTGCACAACAATGTGAATATAGTTAATAATACTGAACTGTATGCATGAAAATTATTAAGATGATAAATTTTACATATTATGTGTATTTTACCAAATAAATAGGTACACAGATAAATGGAAATATCCTTTAAGAGGTATCCAGGCAATTACAGAGATTTCCTCTATTAATATTTTATGGGCATGCAGATATGACAGAAACATTTTATGAGAGTAGTTACAACAAAAGTAAATTACCTAATACCTCAATGGTAAAGGATTGCTGGCGCACTCATGGTAGGCAGGGTATGAATGAACTTTGAACCTGTATCTCCCCAGACTAGATATGAAGATGTAAAACTATTTTATCTCAATGAACGTAACGCAGTTATTTAAACAAATAAATTATGAGCTATTATCTATTCAATGTACCTAAGTCTTTAAACACATGTGCTATATAATTAGTTCAATGAGTAATTAAATAAATTTTATATTCTACTACTAATAGGAAGGTGAATTTTTAAAAGTATCAGTTACTTTGCTAAGAGAAGATAAGAATAATCTAATTCAGATCATTTAGATGAGGGATGGAGCTAGAGAAAATCATGAAAGTCTTTTGTAAGGAAAGGGAAGCTGTTACTTAAGCATGGGTATCAGTAATGGGACTCTCCATTTTCCTGGACACTACACAGTAAATCAGAAATTTAGTTCATGACCAATGAGAAGATAGGGGAGACTTTATCTGCCAGCAAAGCCTGATCTAAGAAAGGTTTACAAAAAGTGGCAAAGTTAAGACTTAGACTAAGATACAACTACCTTAGTAACTTTAAACAGAAATTCCTGCCTTTTATAAATACCGAGAAGTAACATTTGTGCAACTTAAATTTGGTACTAAAAAAGTAACTGAAAGAACAGTACAGATCTAAGAGTTTACTTTTTCTTTTTAAAATGGAGAAAGGAATAGGCATTAAAGCACTGGCAAAGAATACTACCAAATTTTAAGTTATAGATAAAAGACTTTATCTCCTCAACTTGTTCATGTTTTGCAGGTTTCAATTAAAAAAGGAAAAAGTCAAGAGTAAGTTAGAACATTTTAAAAGCATGCCAAAAATAGAAAATATTTTTATATACTTAGGAATGCATACAAGGGGGAAAAAACAATACAAATTGAAGAAAATTTCATTTAGTAGACACAGGGAAGGAAAAATATATGAGAAAAGTATTAATAGTACTTACAATTGGGATCTGAATTTTACAAGAAAAAGGAAAAAGTTAAGAGTCTGTGAAAGCAAAGTAGGAAAAGAAAAAAAGAAAAATTATAATTGGATTCTCCAGAGACAAGAGGAGAAAAGAAAATATTTGTACACAAGAACACAGTGTACACTGTTGTAACTACAGCTTCTCAAGTTCAACCTTATAAATGTTAAAAGTGATCCTTAGAATAAGCTTTAGAAATCATTACATCAAGTGTAATGAAAATGGGTAATTTAAAATTCCATGCATGTAATACCAAAACCAAAGTTGTAACAATAAAAAGTGAGAGTAAATCTTTTAAAAGGTTATTTAGAGTTATGATCTATGTATATGTGGGAATGACAGAACCTAAAAGTGTCTTTTAATTTTATACCTCATCAGCTTAATTTTCATTATCCGTATTATAATCAGTCTGCACATTACCTTTCTCTTGTTCAAAATTTTAAAATGCTACACAAAGAATATATCAAAAAACTGAGAAATTTTATAGAAGAGGGAAAGTGTATAAACACATGTAAATAATATATACACATACAAACATGCACACTATAGAGTACTCTCAACAACAACAAAAAAATAAGATAGGCCCCTTTGAACCTTTTCTAAAAATTATTTCAGTGTATTTAAAATAATTTTTAGACTTTGAGACTCTTACACATCATAATCAATAAAATCAGATTAAAAACACTGAAATAAATAATTCAAACTAAAAGCTTACTGAGGGAAGTAAAGGATTCATGCTGAAAACAACAGGGGGTAACGGCAACAGAAGTGAACAATAATATAATTGTATTAAATTAAGTTGTTCATCTCTAAGAATTTCATATTTTAAGATGATAATAATGTTCCACAATCCCCTAAAATTATTTTTCAGGTCTAGAATGGATAAGTTTAAATAATTTTAAGTTGGAGAGAAACTTAAAAGTCACCTGCTCATTTACAAACTTATAAAGAAGTATTTGTACCAAGAGTAAAATAAAATTTGCAGGAAAGTATTTTTAAATAAAGAAAAAATTGCCGACAGGAAAAAGTTTTAGAAAGATCTAAATACTAAATATTCAAACTAAAATGCTTGATGAAGTATATGAAATGAAGAATTAGAAAACAAATATCATAATCTACTTACATTGTATATCTAGTATGAAAGAATATCGGATGTCCTTTTCCAATGCTGGATGTTTTACAACACAAGTAATTCGCCTTCCCCTAGCAAATCTGGTTGGAAACAGTTTGTATTGGCTAACAATTGTTGTCGTTTCATTTGGAAAAGAAGTTGTAGTGGATTCCATTTCACCAAGATCACCTTCCCAGTCAATATGTGCAGCTGGTTTTCCAGTGGCTGCTATACAAATTGCTGCTACTGTTTCATTTCCTCCATCAATTAAAGAATCAGGTCCTTTAATCAGGCTCACAGTGGGTTCAACTGTGTAAATTTTAGAAATAATAGTTACATTTCAATTTAAAATTACATTTATACCTTTCCAAGTGATATGTAGCCAGATTTCAGAAAGTTAGGAACAAATGTATCTAAAACAAACACACATTTTTAAGAACGCTATCATCAACTGGATTCTTAGCAGAAGAGAAAATCATGAAATAGGACAAACAAGAAGTCAAGATTTTATATAATCTATACAAAGATGGTTGTCCCTGACAGAGATATATTTTTCTTTTTAGGAAAAAATGAGTTCTCCCCAAAATTAGTACACACCAAAAAAAAAAAAAAAGGAAAAACATCAGTGGACGATGGGGAGGGAAAAAAAATCCTGGCAACTAGATCACAATTTCTATGATGAAATTAAGGGTATTGTTACTAGGGAGGAAGAAAAGTGGTTTTTATGATGCTTCATTTTGCAACAAAAATATTTAAAGAAAATACACTTTGTACAGCTACCAGTATGGAATCTAGACTGTCAAAATATAGCATCACTAATTGTTGTGTTTATTATAATATACATGCCACCTGTCTTTTATTAAGAAGCTCATTAGCAGGAGAAAGAAACCTGAATGTCAGATTCCTTCAATCAATCTACCCTTATTTCTTATCTATCTCTTCACACTTTCTAGCAAATTTTAAGTGCTTCTTTTTGTGAATTACTCAAGAATTCAATGAGCTATGCCTATAGCCTATTTTATGTATCAATATATTATCTCAAATACTTTGTTCATTTCCAAGATTTCCAATTAGTGAATTTTCTCCATGCCATACAAATCCATCTTGATTTGTATCTGTTCATTTTTGTTTCATATTCTAAGTACATAAATATTTTCTTGTTTCCTTTTATAAGATGCACTACTATGAAATAAAAGGTAAAGTGTATATAACACAATAAATAATTTATAGCAAACATTCTCATGTAATCACCATAAATTTTAACAAGGTACACTAGCATGCCCCAAATCCTACATATGCTTCTTGACCTTAATATCCTATCTGTCCAATGATGAAGCTATTATAATGGCTTTGGAAATAAATTTCTGCATACTTTTCATAAGAGCTGTACAACCAATAAATGCAAACCTAACAACTTTTGTGTTCCTGAGAATTAATCAACATGCAATTGAATTAGCTGCTATTATTAATACTAATAATTATTACCAATTGTTATTGCATTAATTATTGTTGCTTAGTTAATTTACCGGTAAACTTTAGCTTTAGTTTTTTTCTTTGATATAAACATTTTTATAAGAAACAGTCTCACTCATATATCTTGGTATATTTGTACAAAAGATTAGTTTATTTCTTCTACTGTGCTTACTTTCAACTTTGCCAGATAGTGCAAAAAATTCTTCAGAAGTAACAATTTGGTTCTAATCTTAGAGTACCTGTGGTTCATCTACGTACTACATACAGTCTTCTTATATAGTAGAATTTATCATTGAGACTTCGTTTTTAATTTCTCAGATTATAAATGAGGTTAAAGATTTTTTCAATGTTTTATGAGCCATTTAGAATTTCCTCTTCTACAAAATACTTACCAAGGCCAATCATCTTTATTGTTTTGGAAAGAGTCCTTTTTTGATGACAGCTGTTGCAAGTAGCTTCTAACAGTTTAGGGTTTTTGTTTTTTTTTTTACCATATCCTCATGGTATGTTCTAATGAATGTAAATTTTTAATTCGAGTGTACTAAAACTTACTGCTTTTTTTCTCCCTTTATGGGCAGCTGCTTTTATATAATAAAAAATAGTTCTCTACATCAAAGCTAATTATTATGTGACTTTAATATGTATAGTTTATCTTTACAGAAATTATATATTTTATCTCCTCAAATTGTAAAGCACTGTGAAAGTTTAAAGCAAAAAAGTTTAGTTTCATGAGCTCTCATACAAATTTTATTGAAAGTGAAATTTTTATAGCATTTTTTACTCTCACATACTGAACTTGATTTTTCAAACATTTAAGACTTACCTTCCAATCCAAACATATCCTAAACGTATAAATTTCTTAAGTGTAAGTTATATTTCCCCACAATCCTCAGTATCTTAAAAATATGAAGTCTTCAAATAATTAAGGTTACTACCACCCTTAAACATGAAAAAAAAGTAACAAATTTGTATGAAAATCCTTTTTACATTTTATGGATACTAAGATATAATTATGCCATTATTGTGTATATAGTTATTTGTTTATGTACTGTATGAAATTCTCTAGAAGCAGTAGAAGCAGACACTAATATCAAATGATATCACTCACTGTATCAACTGAGTAAAAATGCTTACTCAGCAGTAACATCTGGGAGAAAAGTGAAGTATTGCGTAGGGAGAGCTTTGCAGACCTGACAAAATGCCTGATAGGCAAATAGTTTTGGAGCAAAGACTTCTAATTTAATAGGTCCCACTTAATCCTCACAACTACCACCAAAATACACAATTTAAGCATACTTACTTACCCAATACAGTTACAGTTGTAGAGGACTGAGCATTTCCAAGTGGGAATGTAACAGCTTTGCATATGTATTTTCCAGAATCAGAGAATCCTATGTTGTGTAGAGTAATTGTTGCATCATTAAGTGAATAGTTCTTAAATATGACTCTTCCCTGATATTCTCCTTGAACAGAGAATCCATATTGAGGATGATGAACTGCAACAGTCTGTGAACTTTTGCCATGTATCTTCTCCCATGAAATCTGTGTTATAGTTTCATTTACTTCAATTAAACACTTCAATGAAACATTCTTTCCCCATACTGCTGTGACATGTGGCTCCACAACAATTGGTCCAGCTAAGGCACCTATGGAGGGAAAAAAAGAACAGTGCTTAAAATTGGGGAGGTTCTGTGAATGCATGGCCTTTCTCCTTTCCTTGTTTGTTTCCCTCTCTTCTTCCCTCTTCTCTTTCCTGCCTGGGGGTAGGGAAGAATAACAGGAAGAACTGAAAAGTTTACATTCTTGGGGTTAGATATAAAACCCCAAGAATGGGACTTCCGGAAGATGGCGGCAGAGTAAAGACTCCGAGATCACCGCGTCCAAGCCTGCATAGGAACTGAGGACTGAAAACGGAATATAGACTCACTTACTACAAGTTTTAACCCAAACGAAAACACTCTGGACTCACTAGAAGGTAGATAACTGAGAGGGAATCCGCGATTGGGGAGTTCCCAGGAGGGAACTCCCGGGAAAACCGGGCCCCTGGAAGTTCCGCGGGCTGCAGGAGCCGCTTTGCCCCACGCTAAATCCTGGAGGTAAAGCTGGACGGCTCAGCTCAGTGAGTGGAGCCCAGGCTGCAGAAAGACTGCAAATCTGATGC